ATAAGTCATTATAATCCGTAATTATGTCCCCACTGGATGCAACAAATGCCTCGATTATAATGGGTTTTAATGTTTTTGTCTCGTCGCTCCGGCCGGACAGGGCATCACAGTACGGTAAGGGGCGTAACATTTCCGTCACACGGAATGACCCCTCATATGACCCCTTTAAGCCATCACAGAACACAACAGAAAAACAGCAGAATGTTGCATTATTTGCGATCCTGCGTAATTTGCGATTTAGGACAAAAACAATCACAAAATGTATTACACTGAAAAAATGGCCTTTTGATTATATTAAAATGTTTAAAGGCAAGTGCTTACACAAAACTAAAGTTATCTTAATTTTAAACCAGGGTTATTAGAGTTAACTACAACTGAAATTAAAATTAAAACCATAAAAAAAACAATTTCATTACTTGAAGTAAAATAAACATTAGCTAAAATAAAAAACTTTTTATTTCAGCTAGTTGACAAGGCAACATTTCTCATTTTAATTTAACTTAGCTTGATGTACTAAAATAATACTGAAATAAAAATGAATATATATATATATAAATAGAAAATTTCTATGAAAATATATAGAAATATATAAAAAACTAAAACTACTGAAAATGACAAAATAACAAAAATACTAAAACTTTAAAATTAAAAATATAAACTGATTCAAAAATTTTTTTTAAATAATGTTATCTCAATGATTCTAAAATAACAGTTTTAAACATATTTTTATTCGAATTTAGTTGTAATTACTGGATTGTAGTCTAATAACATATTTTGTTATATCATCTCAATTTTAATATTCAATTCAATTAACAATGGTAACCACAAAACTTCAACATAACAGAAACTCTTTTTCAACATAACTGAACATTACACATTAACAGGTCTTTTCATGCACTCAAAAATACATAAACAAATGCTTAATTTCAACATTTACTCTCCTAATCCAGCCCAATGCAAAGCATGCCGGGAACAAACAATTAGCGGTCTGATTCACCTAACAATACATAACTTTTTTAGCTGTATCACCAGTAACAGTGCTATTCTAGGACAATGGCACAGATTTGGGTCTTGGCACACACACCTGTCGTGTTCTTTGTCCACCAAGTGGTATCGCGCACGGAAGGCCACCAGGTGGGCGTAGTAGGCTGGCGCGGGGATGGAGACGGAGCGGGTGCAGCGCACGTACGTGTGGCACAACTGGTAAGTGAGCAGCTGGAACTCATCAGCAGTGAAGCAGTTGTCGTCCCACAGGACATGGTAGTGGGAGGGTCGGCTAGTGCCCTGAGAAAAGAGGAAGAGGAGTCAAACTCATGCCAAATGCTCAAGTTACGCCTTCAAAAACATCTTCTACAATACTGTATTTTCGTTAAACTGACAGGGCTGTTGCACTAGGATGTTTTTGAGTGACTCACAAAAACACGACCAAGTTCACTTTTTTTTTTTATTAAAGATATATTTAATACATTTTCTTAAAGACAATAATAAGAAATTATTATATTTTGCAAAAACTTATAAAATATATTTGATATTTTTAATGATTATTTTTGCACTGTAACATTTTGTCTAAGAAAAGTCCCAGTTTTGAGATATTAACTTATGCACGAAAAAAGGCATAACTTTTTAAAAAATAAAAAAGGTAATTGCAGTTTTTTTTCTAAATTCTGGACTTTTTCCATCACAATTCTGAGTTTATCTCTAACTTTATACTGGAGTTGATAATAGTGTATCAAAACGAACAGTTTTAAAAATGCTTTTTAAAAAAGCACCGTCGGACACTTTGTGTCCTTCTACTTCTATAAAACAAGTGTTATGATTAACTAAAACTACTAAAGTTGTTTTTGTTAATTGAAACAGAGCTGAAATAAAGTGAAATAAGGTTAAAAAAAAAAAAATATTAGATTAAAAACTTAATACAAAAATAATACAAATTGACTGTAGTTGACTAACACTAAAAAGAAGTTTGTTACTTTAAAATAAAGATTAACATGTAAAAATATAATAAAAATAACATATAATATAAAAAAACAAACTTGTTTTATTTTAGCTAATCGCCAAGCATCATTTCTCATTTTCACTTAGTTTAAAACTGAAATAAAAAATAAAAACTCTACATATTTAAAACAAAAACAAACAGCAAAATCACTAAAACTATCACCAAAGTTAAAACAAAAAAGGAATATATATATATTAAAAAAAAAAACCAATTCAAAATATTAATAAAAACTATAATAATCTTTCAATGATATTAAAATAACCCTGAAAATACTAATAAAAATGACAAAAGCACACAAAATTACTACAACTCTAATGAACTAAAATGGATGAAATCTGAATACATAAAATAAATGGTAATTCAAAATATTAATAAATACCATATAAATAATACTAAAATAGCACTAGTAAGTAGAAGTCCTGTGTTTTGGGCACTTTTTGGACCCTTTTTGGCTTCGTTAGCATTCAGTGAAAGTCTTGTCACGTATCGTTCACTGTTTTGTCACAATGCATCCGAAATCTCACATTCATAAGCATTCTTTCAATATACATAGTATATTCATTAATCCATCCAGCGCTAAGCTATACTGACCGCTGCAATGGAGGGTTTCTTCCCGTCTCCTGCAGGTGGATGCGTCACATCCGCCCCCAGAAAGATCACTGGCTGCTGAAACACTGACGGCCTGAGAAACAGCACACACAAACACACAAAATTAGCTTGTTTGTAATATAGTGAATAAATCAGGGTTCATGATTTGATGAAAAGCAAATAATTAATTAAATTGAATGAAAAATTAAGCCAGTATTCCACCAAAATAAAATCTAAAGGCTTTGAAATGTTAGAAGCTTAACGGTTTGAACATTTGGAAGTTAAGAACTTTAAGACATAAATATTAGTATTTAACTTGTAGTCTAAAATAAAACTATCATATTATCAAATATTCACTTTTATTTTAACAGTTAATAGTTTATATTTCTTTATTTTTAGAGTTAAAGCTACAATAATAATAACCAGTATTCCACTAAAATAAAAGCTAGATGATTTGAAATGTTAAAAGCTCTCGAGTTTTAACATTTGAAAGTTAAGAATTTAAGACATAAATATTAGTATTTTAACTTAGTCTAAAGTTAAACTTAGTCTATCAAATATTCATTTCTTAACAGTAATAGCCAATATTTCTGTCTTCATTTTTATAAGGCTACTATATAATAACAACAACAATAAACAGTATTTCACCAAAATAAAAGCTAGAGAATTTAAAATGTGTAGTCTAAAATAAATTATTATAATTATCAAAATGATCAAATATTTATTTTACAGTACAACTGCAAAAGTAACCGTTTGTATTTTTGCCTTCATTTTTATAATTAAAACTACTATTTAATAACAACAACAATAAATAATAATTATTATTATTATATGTTGTTTTGCAATATTTGACCCCAAAAAATAATAATCATCTTCTTTTTTTTTTTACCAAGTCATGCATCCCTATATAGAAATAATATTAAAATAAAAACAATCAAAAACACTTGCTATAAAAGATTAAATATTTATCTGTTAACTTGCATGTCATTTGATCAATAACCATCATCAGAGAATCGTGAATATGTGAATGTGTCGTTAAATTATTGAAATATTTACTTGAAGTCCCCCTGAGGTTTAATGTGACAAAAAGTTTGGGAATCCATGCAATAAATAATAATGATCATTGTTATCAGCAGCGGTTTAAAAACAGCAAATAAGCAGAGCTGTTTATGTTCTGTCAATCAAACTAAGGCGGGGAAAGCAGTTACAAACCGTTGATGCGGCACCAGGATGTTGTTGTTGCCGCCGAGTTTGACGTT